TTTCCGGTAGTCTTCCGTTTGTGTTTTCATTTTTGGTGTGTAGGTCGAGAGCTTCGGGAGAACAGGTTTCTGAGAATTTTTTGGAAAAGCTGACACCATTAGAAAGAGGGTCTCGTTAGCGACGCGTAGGAAAAAGCGGAACTCAATTCCGAGTTCGTACGAGCCCAAACGAGCCAAAAACGCGACGTCGCGCTGCCCAGGCCATAGCGGCGCTAAGGCCTTAGCGGCGCTATGCCTGGCTTACCTAGCGGCGTTACACCATGAAAACGACTCCCAGCAGCTCGGGCTTTCATCCCATAGCGCCGCTAACCCCCTTAGCGGCGCTAAGGCCCCCTGGAAGTCCCAAAATGATATAAAAACCCCAAAAACTCGTTTTCTTCTTCATTCTTTCACTTCCAACTCGACCGGGGTGCAAACCCTAGGTTCCAAGAAACCACGAACACTCCCTTCTTCTCCTTCTCTTCTCTTCTTCTTCTTCTTCTCCATTTTTCTTCTTCTTTTTATCTTTATTTTCTATTTTTCACCTATAAATTGTTCTTGCTTTTGGGATTAAGCTTGTAATTGATATTCAACACTTGGATTTGTGATTAATCGTAAGTCTATTTTCTCTTATGTTTAATTCATGAATAATGGTTGAATTGGGAGAATTGATTATGTGTGTTGGATTGAATTTACGTAGCTAATCTTATCGCTAGGGATAGGGGAATGATTGTTCTTGTTTAACGTGCATCTCTCGGGTTTGAAATTGTTCTCTCTTATGTGAGTTGTTTCGATTAGGGATTGATATGTTCTTGCTTGATTGATTGATATAATCGAAGAGTGACACTTCGATCTTGCAATTGGTAACAATTGAATGTTGATTAGTCGAGTTAGGGTTTCATTGATTCTATATGATTAGTCGATTAATACTCTTCTAGTTAAATTGGCGACTTTTTTTGAACCGAAAGGGGAGAAGTCGTAGACTTAGGCTCACATGAGGTAGATGATGTTGTAATTGACTAATCTACGTGTTTTAGATTGAAATACGCACTTGTCAATGACCCGTCCCTTGTTACGAAAAGTTATTGGGATTGGGATAATTGGCCTGTGTCGTATGCTCGAACTTGTTTGTCTATGTTCAATCCCTTGTTACGAAGAGTTATTGGGAGCGAACCGCTAGATGCCTAAGCGAGAGTGTCAATCTCGAACCGAACAATTGATTGCCCAGCTTTGCTAGAACTTAAATTAATTATCCCCGACTCCCTAACTTCTTTTTCATTGTTTCGTTCGTATTTCTTAGGTAGATTACTATTTTTATGTTCTTTCTTAGCTGATAATTCAACCCCCTTATCTGATTAGTATGTTTAGGATTTTCTTTGCTTTTATGTGTTATCGATATCAGAACTAAATTCCGAACCGTCTTCCTCGTGAGATCGACCCGGGGAACGAATCTTTCGATTCGGTACTCGGTAAAAAGAATAATTTGTACACAACAGGTTAGTTTCGAGGTCCGGGCTTGGCTTCTGTATAGACGTTCGATAGCAGTTTCGGAAGTTGTGCCTTGGACTTAGGATCTTTTTTGAATTGATTGGTCTCTACTGGTTTTGACCTGTTCGATTGCTGGGGAAGGGCGCTTATTATTATTTTTGTATTTAGTAGTATAGTTGCTCGTGTTGTGTTTTTTAGATTTTCGTTGTGTGTTGTTCGTTTTTTTGTTGATCGTGCCTTGTGTTGATCGTGTCTTGTGTTTTTGGTCTGGGTCGTTGGCCCCTGTGAGCCCGAGTGTCAAACTTATTATTATATTGGGATCCAACACTTGAGTATTATCCTGTTGGAGTCTTTTTAGTTTAGTTTTTTAGTTGTGTTGTTGGTTACTTTAGTTGGGAGTTTTTATTCTAGGTTGCAGTCGGGATTCTAGGCGGTTTTCTGACCTCTCCTCCCACTTTTTCAGCTGTTGGTTGTTGTGTACTCAGCCGTTGGCTGCTGTTTACTCGCACATTTGTGCATTTTGATTTATAATATTATCTATCGTTTTGGAAAAAAAAACAAAAAATCCGCTAATGTAATCTGCCGGTCAAACTAGCCAATACAATCTGCTGGTCAAAACAGCAGATTAAGCCACTAACGCTAACCGCTAACCATTGATTGCCAAACAAGGCCATTAGTACAACTGTAGAATTACTCTATTCATCCCCTACGTAATCTATCTTTTAATATAAAAAAAAAGTAGAGGTATTTACTTGAGTTGCCAAATAATTTTCCACTTAAATTTTCATTAATTACCATTAATGGTAACTTTTTAAAAAAATTTTGAATTTTAGGCGGTTAGTTAAAATTCAAAAGTTTTTGTTTGGATTTAAATTTTGAATACGTATGTGATTAATAGATAGTAAAAGAATCGCTTAGATTTTAATTTCTTCAAAACATGTAAACACATTTCCTTATTTTCTAAGAAAACTAATAATTAAAACCTTTCCAATTTAAGATAAACCACTAATGTTTATCTTATGTAATTAATATTTAGTTAAAAAATCGTGTGGTAATTTAATTAAATATTATACCTTATATAATATTGATTATCTTCGTTATCTAATCGGATATTTTAAGATATAATTAATATATTATTTTATTTAATCAATTATTTATCTAACCATATTTATATCATTAGCAAACTTGCAAATTTTTTTTAAATTAAAATGGTACAATTATTCTTACAGATATAATTACCAAAATGTTAATTATTTTAGAAACTCTTTAAAAATAAATTTGAATTATCATGTCTTTTACTTTAAATAAAATTCAAAATTAAAATTTTAAATATACTACTAAACATTTATTATTCGTTTTTTTTTTTCTTATGTGACTAAATTTGGTTTTAGATATTTATATTCAAACATTTAAAGAAAAAAAATCCCAAATATATATTTTTTTGGGTAAATTTCATATTATCTTAGGGAGTGTATTTAATTAGAATTTTTGAGGAAATATTAAGACTTTAGAAATCTTGATGTATTTAATTTAGATTTGTGAAGACTTTTAAAAATCCTGGGGTATTCAATTGGGAGTTTTAAAAGTCTTACAAAATCTTAAAGTATTTAGATTTTTTGACACTAGGATCTATTAAAACTTTTTAAGATTTAGTGAAATCTATATATATATTAAAAGCCAACCTATTTACCAAAAACAATAGCAAGAAAAGTCAACAACATTTAATGCATACTTTATTTGGAAATTTTTTACTATATGCATTAAATGCTTGCATATTTACATTTACTATCCAAATATGATCTTAAAGATTTTTTCCTTAAATAATTTATGCAATGATTTTATTGATATCCATTATAATTAATATTTGTCGAGTAATATTTTTTAACATTTATTTAATTATATAACACTAATATTTTTTTACAAAAATTAATATTATTTATTATTTAAAAGATAATGATCACATCATTAAATGATTTTATTGATGGTTAGATAATAAAATTATATTAGTTATTCTTTAAAATTTCAACATGTT